GAATAAGTGAAGAGGCGCTGGGGGGGGGGGGGGGGCAGGGAATGGCCACACCACAATCCGTTCTCCTCGATTCTCCTCTTGGGATTTTGGGCACGCACAAACACATGCCCAAGTCACCGGGTCCAGGATTCGAACTGTCGTCAACTACATGGGAGTCCAGTAACGTAACCATTACTCTACCTACTGGTCCCATCCCTCAGTATGACTTTAATTGGGGCCCAATATATACCATGATCAACATCCCCCACAACCAGGGTGATACTATATCTAATGAGGAGAGACCAGAGGCAGCTGGACAGCAACATTTCTTCATTCTGTTACCAAGCATAGTTTTAACACCAGGTACTGAGGGCAGTTCATCAGCTAGACCTCCGTCCACAAGCTGGAAAAAAATCACTGAAGAATATTAAAGATGGGAGGAGAAAGACAAAGCAATAAGGCTAATCCAAAGTTAAACTACCAGGAACAGGGTGCAGTGATAACTTTATTAAAGTATTTTCCCAATAACAAAATAGCTTCTCAAGCCAGCCAATGACGTGGTGGTTAAGGTGGCTAGATCCCATGTGGCCAACTGAACAGTTTGAATCCTGGACCCGGCAGCTTGTAAAACACCAGGCACGTGTGCATGTGTGCCCAAAATTCTGAGAGGAGAATGAAGAAGTGATTATGATGTGGCCATCCCCTCTGGGTGTGATTTCTCACTTTCTCTCTCTCTCTCTTTCAGGCATGTGCACATGCCCTATAGCAAAAACTTTTGAAAAATTTTAAAAAGAAAGAAAATAGCTTCTGGGCCAGCGGGTAGCAAGGTGGTTAAAGCAGCTGGATCCCACATGGTCGAGTGAGTAGTTTGAGTCCCAGACCCAGCAGCCTGAAAACCATGCTAAGTGCATGTGCATGTATGCCCCAACCCCCAAGAGGAGAATGGAGAAGAGACTCTGGTGTGGCCATTCACCCCTGGGAGGTGCCTTCTCACTTTCCCTATCTCTGTCTCTCTCTGGTGAGTTTAGAAAAATTTCCCTGTGGAAAAATTTTTTTGAAGTTTTTGCCTTAGGGTGTGTATGCTCACTGCAGAGACAGAGACAGTGAGAGGGAAAATGAGAAATCACATCCAAGGGGGGATGCCCATGCCACAATCCCTTCTCCATTCTCCACCTGGGATCTTCGGTATGCACACACATGTGCCCAGTGTGTTTCAAGCCACCAGGTCCAGATCTTGAACCATGGTCAGCCATGTGGGAATTCAGTGATGTAACCTCTATGCCATCTGCGCGCCCTGCCCTATAGTAAATTTTTTTTTAAAATCCATCCAGGTCAAAAAGAGGCTTTTTGCCCTTTTTCTCCCTCCCCACCTCCAGCTCATGGGACATATTGTTGTAACTTCATGGCTCATAAGCATACTAACACTCCTTCCAATGCATTGCGTCACATTCAACATTCTAGGTGTAAACCCACTTCTTTCTGAGACCTTCCTTCCTTCTGGAAGGGAATCTTTTGGTTTATTCCAAGAAGCAAGCACATAGTCCCCTCAGCCATGGTCCAGGATAATTAATCACTATAAAGAAGTAGTCATTTGTTCATGCTGTCGTCTTCACGTGACACTGCCAGAGTGAAAACAAAAACAAAAATAGTGGTGAAGGAGGCCAGGCCCACTCTTTTTGCTTTATTTTGTTTTTAATCAGAGAGATAGACACTTTTGACAGAGGTTTGCCATGTAGCCAGCTTCTTGCCCCAGTCTCCCAGTTAACTAGGATTACAGGAGCACACAGGTTGACCCTGTTTCAGATTGGGCCAGCACTGAATCTGGGCCTCCCATGCAGCCTTTGAGTTGGTACAGCTGAGCCCTATGCTTGTGCCACCAAGGCTAGGCCAGACCCACTTTTTAAAAAGCATTAAGTTCTTCTGAGTACAACCTTTGCTATTGAATAATCTCTAGCAATTTAAAACTTATTTAAGATAGTTTGTTGTTGGGACCAGCAGTTAGCGTAATGGCTATGTCGCTGAACTCCCATGTAGACGATCATGGTTCGAATCCCAGATCCAGTGGCTTAAACTCACACTGGGCGCATCTGCATGTGTGCCCAAGATCCCGAGAGGAGAACGGAGGAGAAGGGATTGCGGCATGGTCATTCTCCTTGGGGGTGACTTCTCACTTTCTATCTCTCTTTCTGGTGAGTGCACACGCCCTATGACAAAAACCTCTCTGAAAATAAATAAATAAAAGATAGTTTGCTATTAAAGGATGATGTTAAACTGAACTAAATTGACCTAAGCAGGCCTCCATACTTGGGTGATTAATTTGACCCAAAGTCATTGTTTATTGAACAACAATCTAACTTAAGGTGCAAGCAAGCTGTTATCTTAACCTAGCAACTAAGCCTCAGCCAATCACAGTAGCTGAACTTCAGCCAATCACAGGCACTAAACCTTGGCCAATCACAGTAGCTGAACTTCAGCCAATCACAGGCTTCCACCTGGTCTGACCATGTCCATATAAGGAAAACGCCAACCGCAGCCAGTTAGGTAGGTTATGCATGTCACTTCCTTGGTTTGCACACGGAGTAGGGTGGGAGGGACCAGCAGTTAGCGTAATGGCTATGTCGCTGGACTCCCACGTATTCGACTGCGGTTCAAGTCCTGGACCTGGTGGCTTATAACTCATGCCGGGCGTGTGTGGTACGTGCCCAAGATCCCGAGAGGAGAATGGAGGAGAAGGGATTGCGACGTGGCCATCCCCCCTGGGGAGTGATTTCTCGCTTTCTGTTTCTCTGTCTCTCTCTCTCTCTGGCAAGCACACGCACCCTATGGCAAAAATCTCTCAAAAAAAGGAAAGAAAGAAAGAAAAGAAATTTCTCCCCCTACAGTAGATGGCTATGCCACAATCCTTTCTCCTCCATTCCCTTCTTGGGATTTTGGGTATGCACCCACACATGCCCACCATGAGTTTAGAAGGGATTGCGACGTGACCATCCCCCCTGGGGGGTGATTTCTCGCTTTCTATTTTTCTGTCTTTCTGGTGAGCGCATGCACCCTATTGCAAAAACCTCTCCAAAAAAAATTTTTTTTTTTTTTGCTATAGGATCTATGTACTTGCCAGAGAGAGACAAAGTGAGAGGGGGAAAATGAGAAATCACCCTCTAAAGGGAATATAGCCCCACCACAATCTCTTCTCTTACATTCTCCTCTTGGGGTTTGGAGCACACATGTACATACATCTGGTGTAATTTTCAAGCTTCAGAGTCCAGGACCTCTACCTGGCTGACTCAAGCACAATATTTTTATTAGGTTTTTGCCCTAGGGTCTGTATGCCCACCAGAGAGAGAGAGAGAGAGTGTGAGAGGTAAAGTGAGAAATCACCCTCAGGAGAGTAGGGGGCAGGCCATGCTGCAATCTCTTCTCTCTTCTCCTCCTGGAATTTTGGTCACACACTCACAAGTGCCTGGCATGAATTTCAAGACACCAGATCCGGAACTCAAACGACAGTCAAACATGTGAAAGTCCAGCACCTTGACCACTATGCCCCCTGCTGGTCCTGGCACAATTATTTTTATTATTTTTTTAGAATTATTTTATTCAACTTTATTTATTTATAATTTTTTATGTAACTACAAAAAATTTTACTTAGAAAAACAATTAAATTTTACCCCTATTTAACTCTTTTTTTCAAGAAGTTCTTTTTTTTAATTTTTATTTTTTATTTTTTATTATCATCATAATCTTCTTTATATTACATTGGATTACATAGAACTTTACAGTGTATTACATTGCTTTTTCAAAAGGGAATGCCATGCATGTCAGTCAGTACAGAGACATTAATCTCCCCACTTCATCATTCAGTATCTTTTCTATGTTTTCCCCAATCAGTATTATTATTATTCTAGTTATTTTTAAAACAGTCAATCACTGTGTATTTATAATTTGACCAGAGGGAGACACACACACACACAGAGAGAGAGAGAGAGAACACACCACCAGGTCCAGAATTTGAACTATGGTCAGCCATGTGGGAGTCTAACGCCCTTAACCACCATACCACCTGCTGGCCCCAACACAATTACTTTTTTATTGGAGCATCAAAATGCTCTAAATGTAGTCTAAATGCTACAAATAAGAAATGTCAGTGATTTCGAATTTTTTTTTTTAATTTTTGCCAGAGGCATGTATGCTTGCCAAAGAGAGAGAGCGAAGCAAAGTGAGAATCCCTTCTCCTCCATTTCTCCCTCCTTCTGAGATTTCAGGGATACACACATACGAGCCCAGCATGTTTCTCAAGCCTTCAGATCCAGGACTTGAGCCATGCAGTCAGCCGTGGGATCCAGCCACCTTAACCGCCATTCCAGGGGTTGTTTCACAGTGAATCAGTGTTAAACAATGCAGGGACAGAGGCTTTATTTTGGTTTTCTCTGTATCCAACCCATTTCCCCTTTGTTTGCCCTTCACCCATATTAATAGGTACAAATTAGTAAATGTTCAATATTGGAAGCTAAATGTCCCCATTTGGCATAGTACACACATGATTTCATTCCTGTAAAGAATGGATCTGTGTGGGGCCAGCAGATGGTGGAATAGTTACATCACTGGACTCCCATGCATCCGACCATGGTTCATGTCTCAGCCCAGTGACTTGAAAATCATGCTGGGCCACGTGTGTGCCCAAGATCCTGAGAGGAGAATAGAGGAGAAGGCATTGTGGTGTGGCCATCCACTCTGGAGGGTGATTTCTAACTTCCCCTCTCACTGTCTCTGTCTCTCTCTCTGTCCTGAGCACATGCACCCTAAGGGAAAAACTTTTTTCTTAAGAACTATTTTATTTGGGACCAGCAGGTGGTATGGTGATTAAGGCACTGGACACTCCCACATGGCTGACCATAGTTCGAGTCCTGGACCTGGTGGCTTGCTTTCTCATCTTCCCTCTCACTCTCTGCGTGTCTCTTTCTGGTCAAAGAAAAAAAAAAGACGAATGAATAAATAAAATTAGAATAAATGAGTCTTTTTTAAAAAAGAATTATTTTATTTAACTTTATTTATTTATTTATTTATTTATTTATTTATTTATTTATTTATTTTAATTTG